TACTCACTCCCCAACCTCCACCCGCACCTCAGATCTGCAAGCAGCTCGCTCCTCCGGGTTCCCACCATCAAGCTGCGCACCAGCAAGCTGCTCACCACCAAGCTGCTCACCACCAAGCTGCTCACCACCAAGCTGCTCACCACCAAGCTGCTCACCACCAAGCTCCTCACCACCAAGCTGCTCACCACCAAGCTGCCCACCACCAAGCTGCCCACCACCAAGCTGCTCACCACCAAGCTGCCCACCACCAAGCTGCCCACCACCAAGCTGCCCACCACCAAGCTGCCCACCACCAAGCTGCCCACCACCAAGCTGCTCACCACCAAGCTGCCCACCACCAAGCTGCTCACCACCAAGCTGCTCACCACCAAGCTGCTCACCACCAAGCTGCTCACCACCAAGCTGCTCACCACCAAGCTGCTCACCACCAAGCTGCCCACCACCAAGCTGCTCACCACCAAGCTGCTCACCACCAAGCTGCCCACCACCAAGCTGCTCAGTACTTATTCAAGAAGGCATTTTTTTGTGTTTACTAGATTTTACTTTATTTTAATTTTATTTTGCTGATGAAGAGTGTGTTGTAAATAAAATGTATTGTTAAATGGTCTGTACTTGTTTAGCGCTTTTTGTGTCTTCCGACCACTTAAAGCGCTTTAACACTACACGACATCATTCATCCATTCTCACACTGATGACTGGAGCTACCGCACACAGAGCCGCCTGCCACCAGTAACCAACACTCACACGCCGGAGTCACAGCTACAAGAGCATTGTGGGGTGTCTTGCTCAGGGACACATCAACATGCAGGTTAGCAGGACCTGGGATCGAACCGCCAACCCTCTTGTTGGAGGACGACCGTGCTCCCCACTCACCCGCAGTCGCCCACATTAATCATATTATGATGAACACTATTTCTTTGACCTATAACGATCCCATCTGATGAGGCCTAAAGTACTTCAGAGTACTACCTGGTACTACTACTGGAGTATTTGTAGTTTCTTACCTGAGCTTGTTGCACCGAGCAGCATCAAGATGACGAGCAACAGCGGACACATGGTGAGTCCCTGAGAATCGGAACAGAACCTGGACCAGAAAAGGTTCATCTGTCAGGAGACGTCTCACCTGTAAGATGTTAATGTCTCACCTGATCCTCTTCACCCTGTAGCTTCTATTCTTCTATATTTCTGTTTTCTGATGTATTTGTGAGTCAAAGACTCAT